CCTCTCTTTACCCGAGTGTCCGAGACACGCGGTCGAAGGTCAGATGATACGACAACAAAGTCAATCATCGACCTCCGGCCTAGGGTGTCCTGGTGCCACGTGCACTGGTGGACACCCTTGTGCTCGAACATGGTGTTCGTGATGGACAAACCGTGACTGGCACAGAAGTCCAACAACTGAACACCGCTCGGGTTCAGATCAGCAGGGCCGTTCTTCCCGATCACTCCTCTCCAAGTGTCACTGGCATTTCCCACATGGGCGTTGAAGTCCCCCAGGAGAATAACGGAGTCCCCGGGCGGTGCACCGTCCAGTACCCCTCCCAAGGACTCCAAGAAGGCCGGGTACTCTGCACTGCTGTTAGGCCCGTAGGCCGTCACAACAGTGAGAGACTTGTCCCCCACCCGAAGGCGGAGGGACGTGACCCTCTCATTCACCGGGGAGAACTCCAACACGTGGCGGCTGAGATGGGGGGCAATTAGTATGGCCACCCCAGCTCGCCGCCTCTCCCCGCGAGAAACACCAGAAAAGTGGAGCGTCCAACCCCTCTCAAGGAGTTGGGTTCCAGAGCCCAAGCTGTGTGTGGAGGTGAGGCCCACTATCTCTAGTCGGTATCGCTCGACCTCCCCCACGAGCTCGGGCTCCTTCCCCCCCAGTGAGGTGACATTCCACGTCCCAAGAGCCAGATGTTGTGTGTGTGGACTGGGTCGCCGAGGTCTCCGCCTTCGACTGCTGCCCAGTCCTCTTAGCACCGCGCCACCACGGACCCCTCTGCAGGTGGTGGGCCCACAGGAGGGACTGCCCACGTCGTCCCTTCGGGCTGAGCCCGGCCACCAGGCGCTCGCATACGAGCCCCGACCCCAGGCCTGGCTCCAGGGTGGGGCCCCGGCTGCGCCATGCCAGGCGACGTCACTGGTCTCATTTTAGTGCTGTCCATGGTGGTTTTTGGACCGCTCTTTGTCTGACTCGTCACCTGAGACCTGTCTGCCATGGGAGACCCTACCAGGGGCATGAAGCCCCAGACAGCATAGCTCCCAGGATCACCCGAGTACTCAAACTCCCCCACCACGTTAAGGTGGCAGTCCAGGGGGGAGCATCTTCTTTATGTGTCTTTTCCTAGACACATCTTTGAGTGTCTAGGAAAAGGCTGCAGTTGTAGCATTGAGGCTGACGAGGCTGAGACCTGTGTCCAACTGACCGAAAAGGAATATTTCTGCCAGTGGGCTTAACTAACTTAACTCAAAGCTATAATATTGGCATTTTGTAAAATGACTATATCTGTTTTGACCTCAGTATTTTCGAATCAGATTCAAAATCAGAATGATTTGTTTTGCAGTTGTAAGTAATACAAAGTCACAACCAAGGTATTTGCTTTGGGATATGGTGCAAACAAGCTATACAAATAAAAATAGATATAATGCAGATATGATATCTAGTAAAATCCTTATACAAATATACACAAAATTAACAGTGTAGACTCTTGATAAATGTGCAGACATATGACAATATTATTACTTTATGTCACTTATTGAGGATAGTTTAGCTGCATCTACACCATGAGCCAACTCTGCTGCATGACTGTAAAAGCCTGTCCATAAGCGATGACGGAAATAAAAATATTGTGTGGTATAAGCAGCTAACCGCCGTTTCATCATGACAATAACTCAAAGGTTGCTTCTTATGATACTTTAGAGGTCATTTATATTTCATTACATGCATTACATTTCATCTATCTATGTATTATTGATGCTACAAGCTAAGAAAGGATAGGAGAGGTTAGAGAGGACTGCTTCTGTGCCTCCTCTTACAGTAAGAGATGCGCTTCATGCACTATTTGAGTTATTGATACGTTTGGATCCATAGGGCAGGACCTCTTTAGCCTCGTATACAAAGAAGCTATTTCAAGGAGCACGTTCTAATGTTTCTGTAGGAGAGCGACTCGTTTCTATATAATAATCAAGATGGCATCAAAATGGTTTGCTGTATGTTCAGTAACAGATTGGTATTTTTTTGGCATCACCTGTAGTCTGGTCACGTCATATAAATATTGTTTCATTGTTTATTTGTATGGGACAGTGTGCATTAACATTAGAACTCCCAGAGCAGTCAGTTTGATGGATTTTAAGTTTTGGAAGTGTTAGAACTCATCACATGTGCATTCTTGGTCTTCTTAACTTTGTGACTTTTTCAGTGTCTTTATATTAATATACTGTATACAGTCTATGGTCATTATTTTTCACTAAATTATCTTTTACGTTTGAAATATATATGTAAGTGATAGCTTTGACTTATTTTTCACCTGAGAATATCAAGTGCTAGTTACAATACACTGTTTACTGTCAGAAGTTAGCATTAGCTTTCTTAGCATTGGCCTTCTAAGTGAATGAGAAAGGTATTTATTTCAATGAATCTGGAAAAAACTGAACATTCTGGGCACAGCACTGTCAAGGAGTCGCCCCCTGCAGGACACTCTGTCTGCTCTGGAAAGCAGTTTCAGTGACATACTTATTCACCCTCGCTGTGTGAACGAGAGGTTCTGCAGGTCTTTCCTTCCTGCTGCTGTCAGACTGTACAATGAGAACTGTGAAGAAGTACATACTGTAGTCATGTGCAAAGTGCAATGCTGCAACTTCAGAATGTCCACTGAAAGTCCATTTATTTACTTATCCTACCCTATACAGTATATATTTTATAGTAGCAAGACCCGGCAATGGATAAAGCGGAAGCAAATACCCACTAGTCCCCACTTTTCTTATATTTTGGACAAAATTTAATGTAATATAGAAAAATATAAATCTTAATTGCTAAATGAGTGTCATCCAGTGCAGTGCAGCACCACACAGAAAGATTTGAATGAAACAATTGTTTTTTGATATTCATTTGAACTTATATTTCCACTCTGTATGAAATGAAGGGAAGATTTTAATTTGAACGTTACGATTCCATGTAATATAACTGGTTAAATCTGCACATGAATAAAATATGAGGACATTTTAGGACCAGTATCCCTCGTATGTCTAGGGACTGGATTAAAAGTACATCTCTTCTCAAATGTAATATCAGGCAGAATTGCTCATGAATCTTCTCTGTCACTGTATAATAAAGTGGGCTTGGAATTAGAGTGTCATACTAACACTGATGTCAGAGGTACGAACTTGCATGTGAAAGCCAGATCCCAATAGACCTTTAGAGCAAAGCAGGACAGGGCCTGGTTAGTACTGTGATGGGAGACTTCTGGGAACACCACAGTTAAGCAGCTGCGGCTATAAAGTGCCAAACTAGGCCATCTCTAGGCCTAGAATGGTGTGTGTGTGTGTGTGAGGGGTTGATGGTGCTCGGAGAAGTCAATGATGTGTCTTTGAGTGTCCATATAAAACCGATGCATTATTATTATTATTATTACAAAACAATATCAAGACAGTTCAAAAAGGAATGGACGTGAGACAACTGATGGAGCTTTACAAATAGCATTACATTTTATTAATATATTTTCATAAAACAAGTTTAAGACTGTATCAAAAACTCAGTAAAAACATTAGATTTCAACCATTTTTTGTGGTGATATCAGATATGAAATGTACAGAATTCACATATGCGTATAGTTACTCACCATCATAATTCAGATGTTTTCTTGTTTTTGTTTTTTTTATGATGGGCAAGTTAACATTTTTACCGTCACAAATTATATAAGTGTAATCATAAATCTAGATTAAAAAATAAAATTATTTCCCGCTCTTTACCCCTCAACTAGTTCTATAGATTAAAGACTAGAATGTGTGTGTGTGTGTGTGTTTTCCACAGGCACACAATTATGTACAGCCATTTGTTCCCAATGCCTCTCAACTGGTCCTGCCTTACACATTATTTAAACAAACAAAAAATAGTGGATGTGCCAAAGGAAGAAAAGAAATCCAGATATGTTTTCAGACACGATATTAGTCAATGATGCATGTAACTTCAAAACTATTAAGTGCAAAGTGCTGGATCCGAGAGCTCTGTTACAGCTGAAAACAGAACATTAGCAGAAAACGAGACTGATTCTTTTACTCAATGGAAATGCAACTTAAATGGATTTAATTTTTCTGCCTCTGCAATCCACGTCACTGACCGCGTTGCCAGGTCTGACCCTGCGTTAACCACTGGAATCCACAGGCCTCAAAATCCGCTATCTGGCAACAGTGATCAAAAGACATCACCTTGGCAACAACAACCATCTTATCTCACGCAGGCAGGTCCAGAGGCACACAGAGAGAATTAAAAGAAATACAAGTCTTATGTAACTTAATTAGGCTTCAGCTGTGACGGATGTGACTAGTCATATGTAACGTCTTTTTGATAATGTAGTCGTGGTCATGTGATAAGGTTAGATTGTAAAACATCTTTTTGGACTACCCCTTGTCTCTGCAAGACATAGTGCAAGGTTTAGCAAGAATTTGCATAAGTGCAAGGGTTGCATGTTATTATCAAGAGGGACCAAAAGAAACAAATAAATCAAGTCAAAGAAAAGTATTGTGGGAGGTGGTTCATGCGTTCAGCTCTTGTCATTCACACCCCTCTAGAAATAACAGGAGCAAAATCTTAGTAAACCGAGCAGAGTACCGATAAGAGTGATAAAAACTCAGATTAACACGGTGATGGAGAGCCAGAGTCTGTTGTCATGGTGACATCTGTTCAAAGGCCCCATGGGCTTCAGTCTTTCCTGCTTCATTATTATTTTCTATACAATAGAAATAGTACATAATTGAAGATAAAATCGACTCTTCTTGGCAAAAATCAGACAAAAAGTATATGCCAGTCAAAAGCTGATTTGAAGACAAACAGAAACTGATGTTGAATTACGAACGTTTTTGATCCATTTTTCTCTGTGCTAGTTGTAGAGAATAGTCTTATTCTTCATGGTCTGATACCTTTTCACCTGCTTCTCTACAAAGTCCAAGCATTTCATGTGAAAGGATTCCAGCGTTGGAATAACTCCCGTATTGCACTGAGAGGAGCAGTGTGCGTTAGGGAGGCACATAGGGAGGAGGCGACCTGTACGAGGTCATGTTCTTTGGCCGAGACCCTTTGCCCTCGATGGGAACTGTGAATGGAGGGGGAGGTTGGTACGGAGGTGCATTAGGGTCATCATCCTGATAAATGGAGTACTCCCCAAGTAGATCTAGCTCCTGGCTCAGGAAGGCGCTGTGAGGCCCTGCCGAGTTTGGATACTCAGGCGGGGGCAGCGGCGGTTTCTCTTCCTGAAGGATTAGCGGGATACTTGAAGATGGTGGCGACTTCGAGTCATCCAACTCATCTGCAAATATGATGGGAACACCTTTTTTAATAAAGGTGGCTTGCTCTTCTATGGTCATTTTGCCCTTACGCTTCTTTTTGTAGCAGACCATGGTAATGATCCCGGCTATAAGAAGCAGCGCTGCGACCACAACAGCAGGAATGACCGTATGTAGATAGACGTCATCTCCACTGCTCACTCGCCCGGTGCCCGGAGTGGGTGCGACCGTGGGCACGGGAGGCAGGGGGATTTCTGCAGGAGGAATGAATGATAAGGTCTGGCATTTATTGGTCCCACGCACAGAGATGTTAATAGGTTTAAACTCAGGCTCCATGGCTTTGATAAACGCCATCTTGGGAGTGCCTTGATGGTCAGAGATCCTGTTGCTCAGAACTGTGATTTGGTCTTTCGGACAAGAGCCCTGCTGAAGACTGTTATTGGTCCACTCCACCACAATCGAGCCACGGGTTATGTTTCTTAGCGTCACTGTGCTGCTGTTGCGATCCCCGAGAGCGTACGCCAGTTTTTTTGTCAATAAAATCTTCTTATGGACGTCATTGGAGAGGCTTTCTGGATCCCCATGGAACCGAGCGGAAAATACAGCGGACGGTTTGTCATTTGATGCCCACTTGTTGACCTGTACTTCAAAGGCATCCATAATACTCTTGCCTCCCTTATCTGTAGCCAACATGAAATACTCATGCTTGCCTGTATGCTGTGCCTCTGGGAGCCCATACAGCAGCTGGATCGTGCTGTTGAACTGTATCCACGAGGTCTCGCTCACCCCTTCTTTTGGCGTCTTCTTCAAAGTCAGACGCAATTTATCCGCCGTGCCGTCTTCAATATCATAAAACGTATCAGTTGGAATTTTGACTTCAAAGTAGGTGCCGACCCATGCGTTGACCTGGTCTATGGGGTTACGGATGTCAGGACTTGTGTTTTCTGGAGGTGGCGATTGAGTTGTAGTCGTGGTCCGCTTTGAGGGTTTGGGCGTGGTCGACTTGGGCACTCTCGGGGAAGGTGTAGACGTTTTTGGCTTCTTGGGGGGCTTTTTGGTGGATCCCGTCTTGGGTCTTTTTGTTGTGGTCGGCAAAGTTGGAGAAGCTGTAGCCTCCACAATGATAGGACGTGTCATGGTGGGCTGGATTGGAATGGTACTTGTAGTTCCTAAGACTCTGGTGGGTTGCGGTGGTCCAAAAACTGGTGTGTGTGCAATTGAATCCCTGACTCTCATTGTCGGCTTCACTGGGAGGGGCAAAGGGCCTCTTACAGGGGGAGCTGACAAGTCAGTAGCAGAGGCAATGGCAGGTGAAGTTGGGGTTGGGATGAGACGAACTGGCGGCTCGGGGAGAGTGGTTGGTGGTAACATTGAGGGAACTGGGGTTGGAGTATTATACAGTTGTCGCCTTACTCTCTTGATGTTATGCGGTTTCTTGTTGACTATATGCCAACCCACAACAGGGAAGCCAAGTTTTGTAGACATCGTCCCGTCCTTTGCCAAATTCTGTACGCTACTAATATCAGGAATCCTGCTCTGGTCTAACGCACATCCGAGCTTCCACGACACAAGAGCCCCATTCTCCACCACCTTTTTTGCGTTTCCTGGTCCAGCCATGAAAGCAGACATGTCAAAAAGCCGGTTGTTGACAACAGGGACTACCCTCATGTGCTCAATGGGAACATGGGAAAATCTCTTCATGACACCCAGTAATGTGACTCTCTGCTTGGCAGCCATCTTGGTCAGGTCAGCGTCAAGGATGACAGTGAGGACGGTGACGGGCTCCTCTGGGCCGCAGGCGAATGGCTGAACTCCACTGATGTCGCTCTGGACAGTCAGGAGGCCCTGCTCGCTGTCTGCCCGCTCCTCTGGATGGACTTCAATAGAAAACACTGTATCTGGAGAAACTTCAGAGCCAGACTCATCAGAGAAAGCCTTTTCAGAAACAGAGATGTGATAGATGCCTTTATCCTGTTCCAGAGCCAAACCGCGGAGAGTGCAGTGCTGACGGTCCCACAGCAGCCAGGAGGGTAGTGTCTGTTTCCCCGTCTCTGTGACCTGCAGATAGGAAACAATTCAAATTACCATTACAACAAAGGACCAAATTAAAGCTCTGAAGTGAATATCAGTTACTTTTGAATTATTTGGAAGATATGTGGAACCGCCTCTGCTTTCTGATTGGATAACAAAAGTGCAAATCCTTATTGAGAGCAAGGTTCCTTCGGTTTAACTATTCTCTAGAAAATGTAATATTATTTTAAATGGTCATAATTTACATTACATTAAGATTACATTATATAATTTTAAGCAATAAATATTTTAATTTACAGGACCATGTGGTCAGAAATACTTGAATTTACACCATCTTTAAGCCTTGATTTTGATTTGCTGTTAATTTGTTTAAAACACATTGGTATAGCTTGGGTACCCAACTTTTGAACCACTAACTTAAAGAACTATGTAATAAAAACCCATATAACTCGCTCCTTTCCAGTAAAACAGTTCTATTACTAGTTTTCACATGTATGTATATTTGGCCTCTGTCTATTTCAGGTCAAAAATTGCAAAAAGAGAGGACCACTTTTACTGTGCCAGTGACTCACAAGGCTTTCTTTAGGTGGAAAAATAAACATGATTTTTCACAAGATAATATATTATTTACTGAATGTACTTATGTGTTTGGCTTTGAGCACAAGCTGGCCTTCTTTTCATGTCAGCTGCTTCTGTGAGTTTACATTGAACTCAGAGTTTAACAAATGGTAGAGATATGTGGAGAAAAGAGCAGAGAGTTGCATAAGAGAATTACTGAATTAGACATTAAATCCCAACACAATGTTATTTTTAATCAGCATATCTCCGAGCCCCAACTTCAAATGCCAATCCTGAACTCTTAAACTGCTCATGCAAAAGGGTTACAGTCGGGGTAATACTCAGTTCATGATCTCATTTCGAATTGCTTTTAGTTTTAAAACAAACTTGGCACGTCATTTTAAGGCTTTGCATGCGGCTGTGCTCCCTTCGCTTCATCCAGTTTATCCTCATATTCAACAGGAAGCATAGTCCTGTTCATTATAACCATGAGTCATCAGTCTTCATTGAGTCCTGTGACAAGATCGCATAGTGCATTACCCCAGCGCCAATAATCATCGCGGCTCATTCAGAAGTCTGACTGGAACAAACCAGAGCAGTCAGTTTCGCTCAGGGCTGATGCAGTAATCACAACCAGCAAATGCTACACACCTGACATTTACGCCGGGAAGCCAAGTGGTGCATGGGTGTTTATTCAAGCAACAAATCCAGGAAACTTCCGATTTAAAATGTGTTATGTTTTCTCATTGCTCAGGTGTGTAAATGCCTTCATGGGTTCAATGTGTTTTACTTCAGACCTCACAGAAAACACTAATGCCCTGTTTAAATCAAGATTACTTACTTACTATACTGTACTGTGAAAATCCAAAATTAGTATTGTGGACAAATCAAATCAACTTATTTTCTTTCTCTATATATCACTTAGCTTGAACTGACTGTGACTGTAAACATTGTAGTGCGCTGTCTTTTTTGCAGTCCTAATTCTTTCTTTTTTGTCTATGGACTAATTGAATTGACTCTGAAATGAAGATTAATTAATCTATATGAAAGAAAGGGCTGTAATTAAAGATTTTTTTGATAATTGATTAGTTGGGCAATTATTCTGTCAATTGAATTAGTTGTGATAAGTTCAACAGAAACAAAGCTAAAGCGATACAACCTGAGAACAAACAGATAGTTGTAGTTTGATAATAAATGCTTTTTAAACAGAGTTCCAAGTATTTCTGCAGTTTTCATAAATCTGTCTGGGCCGTAAAATCTCTTCTCAACATGTTTTGCTGCAAGGTGCAGGATTTGAACCTATTATAGTTCAAAAACGATGAATCAGTTAATACATTTTGGTAATGGATTGGTTGAAATCAAGACTCATTTAAACTTTTATTAATTTATTTATTTATTAATCCTTCATTTGTTATAAATCGGCTCACAACTTGTAAAAGCTTTGGTAAAAACTAACAATATTTTGAAAATGGACTGTAAGCCACAATTCAAGCTATGTATGTAATTAGCCATATTCTAAGTTTAATTACAAAAGTGAATTAACTTTTGAAGGATAATCACATGTTCTAATTTTCGCCTGTATATCATATGATGTTGGTACCAAGTAACAGAATTTCAGAATCCAGGACACTTTCTATACAGCAACCTGGCTTCTTTGAAAATGTGTTCTACATCTTCCTTACATCTTTTTCTTAGATTTATTTCGTTTATCGGCAGTGGAAGTCCTCCATCTTTAAATACAGTGTCAGGACTCCACCTAATTTCTAAAGCCATCTTGAATGGCTTAACAAGCAAGCAGTGTGTTTAGAAATGTCCATTGTTCATATTGTCATGTCTGAATCTATACCTAAAAATGGCTTTAGGTTTTTGCCCATATTTTACTGTAATCAAATATGCTGTGTTTCGACACAGGCTCCTTAAATATTACTTTCCCGGTCATAAATCATATTTTCAATAATTAAATAAGTGCTGTATATTCACTCAAAAATGCAGCTCCTGTGCTTCGGTTTTGCTGCAGACTTTAGTTAAAAAGACCCAAACGTATCAGCGACAAACAAAAAGTGAATCTCCATAATCTCTACACCAATGTGTTTTTCTGTGTAGTGTTTTTGTTCCCTGACACAAGTGACATGAATATCCTGCCAGCTGTACTTAGTCAAGGTTCCAAACACATCTCTGCAGTCAAAATAATCTTTAGACGACCAAACAAACCACTTTGTACTGGTAATAACAGCCTCAGCTTTAAATGCACTGCAGTGTGCAACATTCAGACTTCAAATTACATTTTAGGGTCGTAATATATGATTTTTAATCAAGCAATTATTCTACTGATTAATCAAGTGGTTGTCTTGAATACATTTGATGCAAATAAAGCTGAGGTGAAGCAGCTTGAGGGCATTCTAATATAGATGAAAAGCTCAATATTTCTTATAATTTATTCCTAAAATCACGTCAATTGTGATATTCATGTTACTTTGATTGATTGATGGATAGATTTCCTTTTAAGACTGTATAGAGCAGCTAATTATCCTTTTTAAGTATTAAAATGTAAGATATTTATAGGAACATGTTGATAAATTGCCCTATTACATCTTTAATCTGTTCCCCAGACACAAGGTCGACATGTTCTAATCATAGTTTGTTGATTATTCTAAATATGAAGGACAATAGTGACGACAAGTTTAAGTCAACATGTTTTCAGCAGATTATCCAATGTAAACTCAAACGAGCTGGAGCTGTATACTGTATGTGTGTCTCAGTGTGCCTGTGTGTGTCTTTTTGAGTGTGTATGTGTGTGTGCTCATAAAATACACACACATAATCCAACAAAGGGATTACTTGTACTGTATGTGTAGCAACTTTATAAACCAGTAAGATCCAAAACTACATACGGTTCCTTTTATCCCCACATTTAAACAGATGTTTTTAAAGGATTCCGCATGATATCTAGCAAACTATAATTGCTTATGAGAAAGTATAGACTAGAACTATTCAGTAAAATATGAATTGAATTGACTTTCTAGAAAACACTTACATGGGCATGACAGCTCCCGTTGTCTCGTCCTACAGGCACCTTGAGCTGAAACACCTGTCCCGCGATGGCAGACGAGTCAGGAATCCCAGAGGGCACCCCCAACTTTGCAGTGGCTTCTGGGAGAGGGGAGGATGGACTCTCTCCCACCGACGACAGCGCATCCTGGAGCCCGTTCAGCACCGAGGACTGCATGGAGGCCTCCAGCTCCAGGGACAGGGCCTCCACCAGAGTCTGCTGGTGGTTATGGTCCATGCACTGGGCCATGTTCAACACAAGTCCTATTAGCAAGAGTATAGTCCTGAGTAGAACTAGCGTGCCCCTCGCAGCCACTCCACTCCTCATCTCCTTGTGATTAAAGTGCATAGTAGTAGGCCTATGGGGCTGTCCAACAGATGTCTAACAACTGAAGAGGCCTTATGCACTCAGGTGAATTCAGTGGCACTATCAGCTTGTCTAACAGTGGCACAGTCGGAGTCCTCTGCGATCCATAGAGAGTTCCAGCAGTCTAGTAAATGGCCATGTCCAGAGTCTAGAAAGAAGAAGAGAAAATTACAATTAAAACCAGATCTAACGCTTGCTGTCAAATCTAATGGTGTGAAGTGACAACATCGTGTGCTCCAAGTCACAACAAATCAACCTTTCCAGACAGTGTGACCGTTTCACTTCTATCACGGCACTTTCACTTAATGGCAAATCTCATGAGATGCGCCAGTGACAAAGGTTGTTTGTCTTGGTTGTAAGTTTTAATTAGGAGCCCTAGGGGATGGAATTAGAGTCTCCATTGTACTGACCTAGCCAACCCCAATCCTGTAGCACTCAGGAATGGGCAGAGGGGGGTCAGCCAACTGCCTGGAATCCTAATGCCTGAGCTGCACCAGCTTCTTATGTCAATACTACACACTTTCCCTATTTATTGCCCGGCACCAAAATGCTGATCTGTGATCAGCAGTGTTGATCTGTGAATGAAGAGCTGGGCTGAATATCTCCCATCCACCAAAACGTCTCGCACCCCACTTTCACAATTTAAACCCTTGCACTCACCACAGTCTAGTCAATTAATGTTTAATATTGAAGAAAATAACAAACTAAAAAGCCCCAAAGTTGAGCAGAGCCGTTTCCATAATGAGAAACTAAAGTTTTCACAAGAGAGAAGACTGTATGGAATGTATAATCAGACATGAGTGTAAGCTTGTAGAAATGCTGCAAGTGTAGGTGTGATTATGTGTGTATTAAAATGTAAATATGTTATTTTTAAAGCATGCTGTAGACCATCTGTCTTCTGGTTTGCCTGAGTTCACAGGAGAACAAAACAATGGATGACATTTTCTATAATAATATATAAAACAGGCTCAGACTCATGCAATTAAGTGTCATGAATCATCATGTGGGGGGAAATCTAAAGCTGTTTAGTGGGATCGACTGCGTCAGAACTATGCTTTGTCTGGAATTACTGAAGGATTGCAATTTATTTATACAATAGTGTCAACTTCCCTTTCTGGGTGACAGTGGTAGATCACCATCTGCCTCCTATAATTTCAACATTCATTGGTTAAAACCCTGATGCCCCTTTTGTCTGGCCCTGGGACGTTAGGTATGTGACCACATTCTAAGGCTTCTAACTTGTATAGAGACAAAACAGCTGTAATCTGAGAGCCGTCCCACCTCACTCCCGCCTGAATCATGGGCTGTGTTCAGACTTGCACTTCACAACTCCAACTAGATTAGTTCGACGAGACCTCCCCAGGCTATATTTAATCATTACAATAGAAGATAAAAATAAAAGTGTGTTACACATTTACAACCGAGAATTCAGAAATTATTTAATTCAATAGTAGTATACATCTTACATCTTATACATGTAAACTTGTGTGAGCCAAATCTTTGTGTTAGTATGACATTTAATACTGCCTACAGGGGCTACTTCAGTTTTACCTGAAGGACAAAAAACTCCCTTAGTTTGATAAAGGTAATAAAGTAGGCATTCATATCATATAGGGAAAAGACAAAAAAACTATAGCGCTGGCCCGGACCATAATGCTTCTACTGTGACTGTTGACAAATATTATAAGAACAATATGGTGTGCATATGATACTATCTCAGTTATCATTTCTTTTGCCTGTGTCTTTACTGAAACTTGAGTCCCATTTGTAAATATGATAATGAAAGTCCAGGCCTAAACTACTACTTCTAGCAGCACTGACACTGCCTGAGTTGAATAACAAACATATTCCCAGGACAAACTTGCTTTTCATTTTGTATCCAGCTATTATACAGCAATTACACATATAAACTGTAATTAAAATCACAAGGCAAAGCGAAATCTACCAAAACAACACTGAACATGTCGACATAACAGAAACACTATGGACATGTGTTTTTCTACACAGAAATTAGTTGAATGGCCCCGTCTTAAAGTAGCCAACCATATCAAAAACAACAAACAAGTAACAAACGATAAATACAATGTTATTACTCAAAAAATACAATTAAACAACAGATTCTATCATGACCATTCCAAAAAACCATACCACTTGTTTTTAATTACCTGTGTGATTTTAATGGTGATTTGTGTGTTTGTTTAATGTGATGATTTGTGCTTTGTGTGGTGTGGCCTGTGTAGGAAAAGCGCTCCATGAATATTGATTGATTGATTGATAACACGCTTCAAAAGTTTGTGGAATCTGGTCTGTTTACTTGCACTGCTATAGTCACTTTTAATTGTAAGCTACTTAATATATCTTGCACAAAGAGACTATATTTTAACCTTTTAACATGTTTGCACACTTCCTGTGTTTTGCACACCTTGAGTGATTCTTATCTATGCCAAACGTGACCAGTACATTTCTCCATAGTGAGATTAATATTTTTTTATTTTGTTTACAGTTCTTCTTGTATTATCTTATTGCTGAACCATACAGTATAAGATAACTTTATAGATCTCACAATGGAGAAATGTATATGCCTGATGTGACCAGATTTACACAAACAGAGGAAAAGCAAATTTAAAAACATATCTGGGAATAACCACGACACAAAACTCCTATATTTTGGTTCAAATCTCCAAATGACAGGTGCATACTTTCCCTGAGCTAACCAGCTAACTAAACACATATTAGCTCCAAGGGCCCATCTCTGCTCTCCCGTTTCCACAACCAGGAGGCTGCAGAGCCCCTATACCGCGTATGCATGACAAATGTGATCAAATAGAGCAGAATGTGTCGGTAAACTCATCATAGAGGACGCATGCATTGAAGAAACATGCATATAAATCAATAGATGTTGGCTGTGCTCTTAGCTGCTGCGATCCAGTCCAGTCTGTGGCTAAACGCAAACATGCACCTGTTTTATTCTGGGCGCTGGTGCTGTAGCAGCCAAAAAAACATGAATTACTCCAGCCATGCAAATACCAGCTTTGTTCTGACAGTAAATCTGGGTCTACACATGTGAAGATTGTGTATAAAGTGCAAAGCGTGTATCTAGTGCATAACATTTTTTTTATTTTTTTTTTTTATTCACGCGTCGAAGCCAAATCTGAGGGAAAAGGATTGAACAGAGATAGCAGATAATGTGGCTAACCAATAAGCTAACATGAGAGACTGGGACTGGGACAGATACAGCGCCTATACCTGCTTTGTCATAACATACATGTCCTGCATTTTTCCCAACGCAAAGACGATAAACATGATGCAGTAGAGGTCTTATACACACGCACACAGACAGTACCTCCAACTCAAGCTGACCTTGTTAGCGGGCTAATGTTAGCTAATGAATCCTCTTCTGCCCGGAGCCCAGCAGCGCCGCGGAGAGCCACAAAATGCCATCAAACATCCAGATCGGCGAGGCTGAGACGCAGGGGCGGTGATGGAGGCATCCGTGTCCGCTCCCGGGTGCGCGGATCGCAGGTTTGATGCTTTGGAGAGTTCGCTCTGCACGGAGGAGTGTGGTGCCCCTCCCTGAGTGACAAGTCCTCCTCCCAGCAGACAGGTCCAGCACAGGTTGAGACCGATGTTGCAGCAGAACTACACCTGCACACTTTTATTATTCTTATATTGTGTGATCCGTCTTTGCCCCACGTTCACTTGTGCGTGTTTCATTCATTCAAAACGACACTCATGGTTTTGTATTGCCCTAGTAGTAGTTGGTGGTTAATTAAGTGGGAAATGGCACTACATAAATAGACTTATATAAATAATCAACATATATGAATGCGTGCACCTTTCTTTATAAAGTGCAAAGAGACTGGATGTAGCCATTTATTCTAAAGAACTTTGAGATCGATTGAGGTCATGATTAGGGATGTACCAATCCGATATTCAGTATCGGTATCGGGGCCGATTTGGGTATTTTGTAAGGATCGGATATTATCGGATTTGTTAAATATTGGGGAGTTTACATTTACAGCGTTCACAGACTGGTTAAGTACTGGCTTTTTGTGGTCATTCAGTTATGTACCAGCTCTTTTCTTTTAGTTATACTGAATGTTGAGGGCAGCTTTTTGATAAATGTTCCTTTGATCTTTCTTTTATATCAAGTTTATTTTAAAGGTGAAATATTCAATACTGATGTGATTCTTACCTATGACCTAACTCAGTAGGTCTGTTAAGCAAAAGCCAAACAATATTTTTGATCATGTTATGATAATAATATAAAAAAACATTTTAAAGTAATACCGGTTCCAAAAATTGTAATGCTTTGAAAATATTAGAAAAAATTGGATCGGTATCGGATCGGTATCGGCAAAACAATAGTTAAGAATATCGGAATTAGATCGGATCACAAAAAATCTGGATCGGTACATCCCTAGTCATGATCAATAATTCTATTTCATATGGAGGGCATGTGACAGTAATGGATATTCTGAATAAGAAAATGTTCAAATGTTTTCCCAGACAAACCCGCTGTTGTTATGAAAATCCTTTCTATGGCCAACATAATGCGTATGTTTGGAGTAAGAAGATCCAAGGCAAGTAAAATAAAAGTTCTTTAATGTTTAATAACGAGACATGCCAACCACATCCAAGGTTCTACAATGTATATGATATTTTTTTTTTATATTGTCAACTCTTCTAGACACCTTTTATGAGAGAATAATTAGACTGTAGTTGAGATGTACCAACAAAGAAGATGTGTACATTTGTGAAAGTTTTTGTTTTGTGTTGATTGGCCTTGAAATGACAGTGAGATGGTCTATAAACTAAGATCAGATTTGTGTCTTTTGACTTTTACATAGTTACCAGCAAAACAAATTTCAACTGCCCTCCAC